GGAAACAAAGGGCTTGTCCTGCCGTTAGGGCTGGTAGGTGCCACTCGGATGCCGCTCTCAGAAGAGTTTGTGTTTCTCTTGGGCGAGCCTCTCCACTTCCCTCATGAGCCGGAGGCACAGCTCCTCCTGCCACGGCAACGCCACGCACTGGACGGCCACGGGCAGCCCCACGCTGCCGCGAAAGCCCTGCCACAGAAACAGAGCGGGGTGAGGGCAGGGAGAACGTCCATGGGATGAGCCAGGGATGCCCCCCGTCCCTCGGGGACCTGGCGGTACTCACCTTCGCCAGGGTCCAGTCCCACCAGTCCTGGAAGTGCCCTTTGTAGCCCTTCAGCTCCTCCTCATCCTCATCTGTCACAGTAGTGACAGGGACCACCCCGGCGGGGAAGTCCAAGCAGTTATACAGGATGGTGTAACTGACTGCCACTGCGGGAGAAAGGGCGAGCTCGCAGCAGCAGTGTATCATGGGGAAAAGCTCCACCCTGCTCCGCGTGCGAAGGCTCCCGTGGCACATGAGTTATGGCAAACCCCCAAAGCCATTTCTAGTTAACAGGTCATATGCACTGAAAAGTCAGGGGCTGTGGGAAGCTCTTACCCCTTCGCTCCCTTATGCACCAGGGTGATTTTTGTGGGGCTCAGCCAAGAGGCTGGACTGTCAGCAGCCCCAAGAGTTGAGCTCTCCCCACTACTAACCGGTGCCTTGGAGAAGCTAGGAGCGAAGGGCAATATTTCCCATGCAAACCAGTGCAAGTACAGCAGCAGGGGGACACTGGAGGTAAAGGATTAAGGCTGACTATTCCTACCCCCACAGGCAGTCCTACCTGAAAGCTTCCTGGGGTAGCCGATAGGAAGAGCAGGACCCAGCACAGGGCAAAGCATGACGTCTAGATTCAGCTTTTTCCACTGGGTGATGAACTTGTTGCGAGACTCCTGAGGAGCAAAAGCACTGCTGGTCAGTGGGGCAGAGGCGCTGCCACCCAGCTGCCAGCTGAAAGCTCTCCTTGAGCTCCCAGCCTGGCTCCCAGCCCTTCCCAAGGAGTATCTATCAGTTCTGGGGCAAGCCACATCAGGCCTGAGCCTGATAAAAATCCAGCAATACTTTGCTGCTCAGCTAGCAGCCCTCCCTGCAATGAAAGCACCCTCACACCTGCTAAAACTGGAAAGGCAAAAAGATCAAAAGTTAAGCACTGATTCAAGATAAGAAATGTGTTTTAAGTGTGGCCCTAATTTTAAGTGTGCTGAGAGCTTGCAAATCCAAGTGAGATCAGTTCAGGAATGACAGATGTTCCTACCTAGGGAAAATGAAGCCATTTCTGTGTGATTCCACTTGGAAAAAACTGGTTATATGTCTACCTTTAAGAAGGCAGAGCCTCATACCATCTCTTTAACTTGCTATGTTTTCTGTTAGAAGGCAAGTTGCTCAGATCCTGCTGTGTCCCTGGAACAAAGCAACAGAGCTGAGATCAGGCAGGATGCATGGGACCAGCCAGGGCGGGGAAGAAAGCTCTTGGGACTCCATTGCTTTTGAAGGCCGCACACCGACTTGTACAGGGCAGAAGTCATAGCCTTACAGGAGCAAGTGTGATCCATGAGGATGGGCCTAGGGACACCTCAGCTCCTCAGCCACTAATCTGCTGGGTGACTTTAGGCAAACCAGTCCCTCCTCTCACTGCTCACCTGGTCTCTTTAGACTGCATGGTGTTGGAGAGAAGCAGCAGCTCTTACCACACATTTGTGCAGCGTCTCGTGCACTGGGACCTGCTCTGCCCTGGGATCTCTAGTTGTCCCTACCAAAATATCAGCAGCTTACAAGATGCAGATGCTGATTTTATTATATTTAAGGTGCAAATAAATGAAGATCTACTAGACTGGCATGTTTCACCTTAAAACCGTTTAGAGTCTCAGGCTGATGGTGACTTGATAGTCTCCTAACCCTGGTGGGCATTGAATCCACCTCTTCCCAAAGAGATAAAGAACAAAAGAAACATCCAACACCTCAAATAGTGATGCTTTACCTCAATCTCATGGTGAAGACTCCAGAGGTCTTCCACTGTGCTGGAAATGGAAGCAAAGCATTTAAGTTCTTATACCCTATTTATCAGCTAGCTGCAGTCCCTTTCAGCCCTCCCACTGAACTGCCAGAGCATCTTCCGCTGACTGTTCTGCATCCAAGAAATGCAAGTGCCTTTAGGGGAACAAGCACCGCCTTGCAAGACTGGGACTTTTCTTCTCAAAGGCCAGGCTGGATGAGATAGACTGATCCTCTGATGCAGGGACAGTCTTGGAGGCACAGCACAAAGTACAGCCTCTCAGCTATGGAAATTGAGTGCTTTCTTGCCACTGGCAGCTCAACACTGGCATCACAGCAGGCAAGGGCAAGCCTCCATTCCTATGCATTTGCCTTTCATTCTGCCTTACGTGGCCCCAACTACATCGTATGATGGATGCATCAGCCAGGAGTGAAGTTAACAGCATATGTCATGCCTGCAAGCTTCATCTAATTCATAAGGAAAAGTCTGTGAGCCCCTGTCCTCATTACCATCCTCAGTACTAGAACAGTTTGTCAAACCCTGCATAGTTATGGCATTGGCATAAACTGCTCTCAGTTTGCTCCCACCATTGCGTTATATTTTCTCAGATGCACATGCTTGTGGCGTACGCCTAATGTAGAAAACACTGGTGTCTAATTTTTAAATCCAGAAGAGAAACTCAAATCTTTACACACTTGCTTAGGCTTAGATTTACTCACTTTACTCTCATGCTTCTTATGACACCTGACAATCGAGGCATCTGAGAAGGAGAAAGTCATAAAGAAAAGAACTTACGTTAATCACAGCCTTGTCCTCCTAGACAGCTCTAGCTCAAATGCAAGCTGTTGACTCAGTGCTCAGGCAGGACTTGTGGATTTTCCTCAAAATGAGTACAGGGGGAGCAGAAATGGCATCACTCCAGTTTGAAGGAGGTATGTCTAAACACAGCCAGGAAACAAAGCCTGGAGCCTTCCCCACGGTAAAGCCTCATTCCAATGGGAAACAAGTTATTCACCATCTATTGCTTGATTCCATCTATACTAGAAAGAAACAGATCTTACAAAGGGTTTGGTAATCCAGGACAGGAGAGTTTTTAGCCAGTCTGGTGTCCTCGACAACCATAAGAACAGCCTCATGCTCTTTTCTTCCAGTTCTCCTTTGCTGAAAGGGAAGGTGGTGTTTAGCTGAGCAGCATTAGGAAGCAATTACCGTAGATCAGCTTTTGCAAGGCCACCCCCCCCACCCCCCCCGAATAGTGTATTTCGGTGACAAAAGAAGTTTTCTCCTTTCCTTTGGGTTCCAAATTCCCATGGTATTTGCACATTTATAGGATATCAGCATCTGACTCGCTTTAATCTGTCACATGCTGGTAATGCTCCCAAACAGTTCGAAGGTGTAGCTGAAATGCTTTTCTGCAAACTCCCCTGTAAATCTCAATGGGTATCAGACACTATATATTTCCAGTGGATCTGCTTCCTGTATCCAGACACTGGCCTCAGACACCCTGAAGTGGGGAAATGAGGCACAGCAAGGTTAAACAATTCACGTAGGACATCTGCAGCCAAGTCAGGAACCAAACCGAGCTCTACCTCTTCCACATCCAGCACCCAGATAAAGAACAGACCTATTTCCCTTTGTCACCTGACCAGGTGATTTAGGTTTAGACCTAAATCTAATTCATAGTTTGAGAAACCCAGACTCCACAAGGGAGGATTTTCATAGAAAGGCACCAATCACACCAAGCTGTTCCAGGCTATACTTACAATTTCTTCAAAAACGAGGCACCTCCATCTGCAAACAGTCCTCTCATACATAAGTTAAAAATGAAGTAGTTGATGTTATCGACTTTGAAGGGCACCAGCTGAAAGGACAACAGAAGAGGAGTCGGTGGCGTAGACACAACAACCGCGTGGGAAAAGTCATTGGGCTTCTCAACACCCCGAGCTGGGCTCCTTTCAGCCAGGACCGAGGATTTCTTGACAAGAGCCCTCAGGAGAGGCTCCAGTGTGGCCGACGCCCCCAACCCCCCCCCCCCCACCCCCCCCTGCCACTAAAAATGCAGCTTTCCCTTCAAGCAATAATTGATGATTCAAAAGATACGGGATGGGCTTGGCTGCCCAATGCCCAGAGAGTCTCCAAGGGCGGGGGAGGGGGTAAATTCTAAAACCCTGTAGCGGGTGACAAAGAGCACAAATATGCAGTCTCCACTTCACTCCCAATCTTTGGGCCAGGGGTTAATGTAACATCCTACCGTGTGACCAGCATCCTCCAAAAGTTGCTTTGTCTCCCGAACCGCACGTCTCATGGCAGGGCTTGGCATGGTGAAGAAATCTGTTTCATAGTAGCCTATGCGGAGCGGCCGTGTGCTAGAATACACCTGCAGAACAAGAGAGAGGTCCAGCTGGAAGGATGCCAGCAATGTCAGGAGCCAGCAGTACACCCGTGCCACAGGGTGAGGCTGGAAAGCAGTAAATATCTCTTCTCACCCACGCGCCCACCTGCAGCATGCAACAGGCTGGAATGGTACCAGAGGGCTCCTGTGAGCCACTGGCATTTTGAGACTAAGCAAAGGCAGCTCTTGTCTGAGCTCATCCTCCCTGCCTAGAATCCTTTACCTCTTCCTTGAAGGGAAGAGGGGGCACTGTGCTGTCCAGGCTGAACATGTCCTCGCACAGCAGTGCCCGCATACTCAGCGCCAGGCTCTCCACGTCTTTTGCCATCGGCCCCACTGCTGCAACCACTGGAGGAGACCAGGAAAGAGCATTCATGGTTAGGGGGAGTCTTTCAAGGGGGTGTACAGCTTGCACAGGTGATGTCATCCAAAAGCAGGGCCCCTTGGCATCATTTTGACCCAATTTTTGCATTGGCAACAGCTCCTCTTTGAGGACTGGGTTGGGGACACACACACGGGCCTTCCCACCAACAGGCCTATGGTTTGCCGAAGCAGTGGGAAGCAGGATGCAGCCTGCCCCACTCAGAGACCACGACATCCTGACCTGCGGGCATGGTGGCTTGTGTCCTTGCCAAAGCTCTACTACTTCTTCCACAAGCTCTTACTGTGACGGCTGTGGACCTGGATCCACTGATATGTACCCAGACATCTTGCCCAGAGACTTCTAGTTTCTGACCAGACAGGCTCAGGGGAAAAAGGGTCCTTCAGCTGGCCCATAGCCCAAGCTAGAACCATGCATGCTCCAGGAAAACAGGGGTGTTTGGGCCTTCTGGCCATAGCTATACAGTTCAGCCAAGTGCGACTACAGCAGAACACCCTGCCTGTTCCTAGGGCACGTCTCAGGCACTGTACAACTGTCCCTATCGACGTCCAGGGGGTGCAAGTCTCTCAGGGACTGACTTGGCTGCCTCGAATCAGCTGCAGGATGCCACATGGGGCTGGCTTTTGGAGATAGTCCCTGGAAGGAAACCTTCCCTCTCTGAATGTGTTGGAGAAGGTCTGCCATAGCCAGCTGAGAGTCCTTCCCATCCCTGCCCTACTCCCCTCCCTGGAGGGCAATCATCAATTCCTACCTGACTTCTGCCCAGCGATACCAGAAATGATTCCTTTCTTGCTGTGAAATAAAGGCACACAACATACAACAATTTTCAGAAGAGGAAAGTCTTCAAGCATTAGCAACTGCTAGTGAAAGCACTGCCCTTCCTTAGGGAATGCAGAGGTCAGCCAAGGAAGACCTGAGAGGAAGCCCAAGAGAGAGGGACCCAATCTAGGCCAGAATGATTTATGCCTTGTCAGTCGCGACACAAGAACCCCCCCCCCCCCCCCCCCGCCCCTTAACACAAGTGCAGAAAAGTCTCAGCTGTCTCTGTTCTAGGGGAACATTCCTGTTTTGGAACAGTGTTTCCCTCCGTACAAGCCCCAAGAAATGTCTGGGCAGGGGGGAGAAGCGAGCCCTGCTCAGTTGCCTTCGCCGAGGGAAGCAGGAGCATCCTGACATAGCAGTCAGTGGGGTGGCAGGGTGGGTCTCACCTGGACAGCTGCATTACTTGCAGTACCTGAGTCTGTTCCCGGTGGGTTTGAGTGCACAGATCCCACAGAAGGCAGCGGGCAAACGCAGACTCCCTCCAAGATCTGTCCCGAAGCCCAAGATGGATCCACCTGCTCCTATGAGTGCCCCTTCTCCACCAGAGGAGCCTCCAGGGGTTCTGGTGTAGAGCAGAGGACTGAATGTCTGGCCAAAGATTAAGTTCTCGCAGTCATAGCTAGAGCGAGAGAGAGAGAGCACAGACGAGAGAACTGTAGATACTTGTTGATGTGGAAGGTCACATCAAAAAGACCCAGCCCACAGGATGGCTTTAAAAGCCTCTATAATTAGGCAATGTTGTTACAAAGACTTCCCTTAGGCCTAGAGAGCTTCCAAAAGCTCCTGAGAAGACCAGCATTTTTATGGAGGTCCAAGGACTTGAATTCACTGTCAACTAATTTAATGTCAAGTCATCCCCAGACCAAGGAGACAGACCTTCTGGCAGCACAAATGCATCAAACCTCTTGGGAAGACTCCCCCTTCAGGTGGTCCTGAGGGCCACTGGCCATCTGAAACAGCCTGCCAGTGCAGGTCCGGGCCCTCCTATGGCATGAGGGATGGCAGAGCACAAGCCCCTGTTTGGGAACAGGCTGAATGCAATCTGCAGTGATACTCAAACACTGGGCTCCCCCAGGAACCGCTGTAAAACCTGATAATCCCTGAGGCAGGCCCTTCGTCCGGCTTTATTTTTATTTTTAAAAAAAGAAATCATGGCCAGTCATTGCAAAAAAAAAAAAAAAACCACTAAGGAAGGCAGTGCGTAGAGGCTGAGCGATAGTCAGCCACAGAGAAGCTTTTCCAGACTTCACTTGGCAGGACACCTGGATGTTAGCGGGGCGGCTGTCCAGAAAAGCACACCTGACTTCATCCTTGCCAATGACATTGAGAGTGGTCTTGCCAGCCACATCAGGAGCTTTGGTGTTAATTTAAGGTTGTCAGCTTAGGTAGCTAACTAGCTTCCCCCCCACGAAAGTGCATTTGCATTGTACAGTTAACAGAACTGCCTCTGAGGGTTTAGTTAGATGAAAAATAGTTTAAAAACACCCAGCACAGGAAAGAAGGTCAGATTTCTCTTCTCTTCTTCCCCTCTTTTATTTCTTTATTTCATTTACAATTGGAATTAATTCCAATTCTGAGTAGCTTTAAAACTTAGAGTAAGGAGGAGGAATGGGTGTCATCATTTAGAAGGAAAGGGGAAATCAGAATTAGACTATAATTGATAGAAACCCTCACGTAAGACCAGGGAGTAAGGAATCCCACCACTGCGAGGGAACGGAGCAGAGGGCAGCGGCTCTCCACGCACCTGATGAGGGACTGGGGAACGTTGGTTTTCACAAAGGGAACTGCCCCCTGCCTCTTCAGCACCTGCACCAGCACGCTGTCCTCTGCCGCAGGGTTATTGAGGTTACTTACAAACCCTACTGTGGAGTCATAGCCCTGGGAACAGAGAACAATAAGGTTTCCAAATGGAGGTTTGCAGTTTTCCTCAACTGTGTGGTTTTTATATAAATGCAGAAGGCCTTTTAAGCACCCGAAAGCACCTGCTTACATGATACATGGTGTTATTTATAGAGGTGTGTGCATGAACCTCCACAATTGCTCCCCCTGCTTTGTGTAGGGACATCACACGGATGACAGGCAGACTGAGGCCCCAGGGGAGATGTAAGTGCTAGCAAGCTCCTTTCAAAATGGCTTTTCTCACTCCCTTGCTGACCTCCTGTTTCCTCCCCTTTCTCTGCTCAGGAAAAGGGGTCACGGGGCTCCAGCACAGCTGTCACGGGAAGGACGGCACTCAGGAACCACACTACCAGCTGAGCCGCAGACGGCACCTGCCCTCCCCACCCTGCCATGGACTGGCAGGATATTCTGGAGCAGAGGAAATACCTAAATAAATCACGGCATTGACCTGTGACCAGCAGTTCATGAGCAGCTGGTGAGGACACCCATCCAGCACGCACACATAGTGCATTTGTAATAAATCTGATGAGCCTTCTCCATTCACTCCACTTCTCCTGTGGGAGACAGGCAGCAAATGCCGTCACCCAGGAGGGCAGGGGCATCCCAAGTCCACTAGAGCAAGAGCTGCGGTGCAGCTGGACGTGGAGGTTGAACCTTTCCCCCCCTTCCCCCCAACCCAAAACTGCAGGGACCTCGGGACAAGCGGCACTGGCGGTACCTGGCAGTTGATGGAGTCCTTGATGCTGACGGGCACCCCGTAGAGCAAACCTGGCTGCTCTGGCCGCGCTGCTTGCTGGATCTGGGTCTCACTTTCCCACAGGTAGTCCGTGATGCAGTTGGTCTCTCTGGTGACTTGCAGGGCCTGGGGGAAACCAGAAAGGCCCACGGGTGAGACGCAGCCCGCGGCATGGCATAACCACTGTGGGCAGGTTTATATCAGGACAGCCCTTTGTGCCCCTTTACAAGACGTTTTCACACCAAACTCCAAAACACTTTCTGGATGCAAGGGGGCACAGTGTCAACTGGTACAAATGGATGTGTCCTGATGGATGCTCAGCCCAGCAGGATACAAAAGGCTGTTCCCCTGATTATGCTTCTGCTGTTGCATAAAATAGTAATCTCCAAAGTGTAAACCCAGGACAGAGTAGGGCATTTTGGCAAAATTAGAGAATGAAAACGAACACTGAGTCTTTGAGGTTTTCCAACGCACTTAAGCATGGAGGGGAGGGGAGACACACCAGCACCCAGCAACTTAATGAATATAGCTTATAAGGTATAGCTTATACCTGCCCCCAAATACGTATGGGCTTCCCAGATGCTGTGCTTGCTGTCCCCACTTTCCTCCAAGCCAAGACCAGAGCTGTGGCAGGCAGACACCCAGCTCTCCTTAGCTCGCAGAAACGTGCTGAAGGAGCCACAGCTACACAGCCCACAGTGGCAGCTCAGCAGCGTCTGAACCAGGCAGTGCCCTCCTACTGGGCTTCTCCCAGCAGAGCCAGTGCCAGCTCTGGCGAGATCCCGCCCCAGCACCCACGCTCCTCACCTTGCCCACGTAGGCATAGAAGACCTGCTCCGGAGGGAGAGATCCATCGTGGAGTTTCTTAGAGAGCTCCGGCAAGGGCAAAGAGAGGATGGAGACCGTGTCCACAGAGGGATGCTATGGGAAAGATTGGTCAGGCTGGACCCATCCCTGCTTCAGCTGGTGGCCAAGAGCTCTGCCTCTCCCCTTGGTGTCCACAGCAGCCCATCCTAAAAATATCTGCCATTCAGGGGCCAAATGATCCTAACCCAATGCTTGCCTCAAGACTGCAGCCCTGCTCCTGGTGAGTATGGGAGAAAACCCGCAGTACATATCCAAGGTTTGTGAACTCCCAGACAGAGGGATCTTACCCCACACCTGCTGTTCAGGAGAAACTCTTCGTAAAACCTTGTTCAGACAGGTCACAGCTGAGCCTGGGAGCTCTGCTCAACACAGTTTTCCCTGCTGAGTGGCAGGGTGTATTGGCCCTGTGTTTGTAAATGTTGCTCCAGCCAGGAATGAATTTGGCCCTAGTCCAGCTCTTCTCCTGCTATCACCACGGTGGCCTAGGAAGAACCACAGCAGAGATTTCCCTGCTGCCTTCTAAACACGAGAAAGCCTCATTCCCCAAGCTGGGCTCCGAGCCTGAGCGAGTTCGCTCAAACCAGGGGTCAGGCAGTTTGAAGAGACCGCAGCCTGCCTGAGGGAAGAGGCACACGCGAGCTGGATGTACGAACAACCCAGCTGGATACAAGCAGCTCCCTGCCTCCGCGCTGTCGCCTCCGCCCTACAGGCACAGTTCCCAGGCTGCACAGCTGCACTTTGGCCCCAGCCTGCTAAGTACTCCTTCTCGCCTCTTCCTGCCACCTCCTTATCAGCCAGGCCAAACAGTTCACCAGGGCGGAAGAGCCCCAGCCAGGGAGCACTAACAGCGCTTTCAAATGAGAGGGGGGAATTTTTTCCTCTTCTTGCACCGAGTTATTTTTTGCTAACACCTGCTCTGCTGCCCATCGCCCCCCTCTGCTTGGGGAGGTGCAGGGACACACAGGTTTTGGAAGAAAATCCCCCCTGATTAGGAGGCAAGCCCTTACAAATAAGTCAGAACCCAGTCTCACTCCCAGGCAAACCTCCAACACCGCTGCAAGCTCCAGAAAAACAGCCTGGCCTCCCACCCGCCCAGCAAACAGCCCCTGCACAGCCCAAACCCACTGCCTGCGAGAGGGGCTCTGCACCCTCCACCCCCTGCACACTCATAGGAAAAGGGCCATTTGGGGCCAGCTGATGAGCTTATGCAGGGTGGGCGGAGAGGTGATTTGCCCCTGGACAGCCTCCCCTCACGGAGATCATTGCACCCACCTGCTTCCGAAAGCCCAGCGCAACCTTCTCCATCTGCTCCAAGCCCCGGTCGTGCCTCTGCCGAGCCTCCTTCACCTTCCTCCAGAGCCCCTTTCGCCGTCGCCATCGCAGCAGCAGCAGGAGGCTGGCGGCCGAGCAGCAGAGCAGCGTGGGCAGGAAGGACAGAGGCACCCGCACGATGGGGAGCGGGATCATGACCGCGACCGCCACCCGGAGACGGGCGTCCCCTCTCCTCGCGCAGCACCTCGGCGCCCAGCAGAGACTTTCCCGGCCTGATCCAAGGCCACTTTGCAGCAGATGGGGAGCAGGGGAAGAGGCAGGCAAAACCTGGGAGGGATCTGCACGCAGGAAAGGGCTGGACTCGCCGCGAAGCGAGTTAGCTGGTTTGCAGCTTCGCAGGCGCAGCCAGTGCCAGCGCAGGCAGAGAGGAGATGGTTTCGGAGCA